AAGTGTCTGGAAATGGAAAGTTGCAAACATGATTCAGCAAGTAGGGAAACGCAGCAGCTACCTGGCGAATAATCTCAGGCTGGTTTAGTGACGAGTGCATTGCTACGGCTTGTTCCTCACCCTTCACAGATTACTATGACAAAACTACCCCTAGTATTTTGATCATCTTGAGGCTCGCTTTCACCTAATAATTTGATGAGGGTCTTCCTCGTTTCGGATTGAGGCGAAAACAAACGTCAAACAACCTTGATAGATAATTCAGCACTTCAAAACAAAGGTACACCTAGGGTATCATTACAATACCGTATCATAATGATCTGGATAGTTCTCAGCCTGTAAGCTAACTAAGCGGTAACTAGTCAAGTGGTAGGTACCGGAAGCATTGACGACCTGCTGACTGTTTCGAGACCCTTGTTTTGACACACAGCTCGTCAATATTTTTTACAGTGTAGCACGGCGCGGGCTTTTAGCTCCCGATTTTGACGGTTTGGCGCCCCCTTTGTATGGAGCGCCCCCGGATTGCCAGGTCGCCCCTATTTCGACTTGCCGCCCCCCCCTCCCGAAAATTCCTGGATCCGCCCCTGGTCACAGGTCAAAGGTCATTTGGGTCAGGGTCATGAAATTTTCAGGGTAGGTGTGAAATTGATCAATGCGAGGGTACTGAAAGTTTCGTCGCGATCGGCCGCTTTTTACGCGAGTTATTCGCGAAAAACCATGGGGGGGTCCATCCGACCCCCCCCCCCTACACATGCGAGGGTTGATTTAGAATGAGGTTTGTCCCAAAAAAATCATGTCGCTGGACCGAGCGGGGTTCAACCACCCCTCCCCTCTCCCAGCATGGCGTGGAAATCCAGGAGCCCTAACTGCAACGGGGCACGGTTATTGGCGAAAACCGAGGGCGGGTCACTCCCCCCCCCCCACTGTAGTTATACGGCTTTGCCAGAACTGCCAGTTGCCACTGTAGCAGTAGTGCGAGGGGTAAGCCTGCAAATGTAATATGTCTCTAGGATAAGCTCGCCAGGCAACTTGGCCATTTGGACTTACCGCTTCTCGTTCTCAGCCTTGACCCCCGGGCCCGGGATCGTGTGCCTCCTCTGCGCCCGATGTTTCAGTGGTGTCCAGCCGACTGTTCCAAGGCGGCAGATTCGAGCCATACTGATACTTGATCATGGGGATCATGGCGGATGGAAAGATCGAATTGAGAATGAGATTCCTGAAGCACCTAAGGAGTGAATAGATCGAAGGAAGATCACAACAATTCACTATTCACAAGTCACAACACCGGCACAATCACTGGCGGTCGCAGCCGCTAGCAAAAGGGGGGGCCAAAGTCACACTCGCGGGACATAACATTTATCCGTCACCGGGAGGGGGGGGGGGGGTGATCGGCAAATTTTTTACGTCCACGAGCGCCGCACAGTTGGCATTACTTATGCTTCATCCATCTCATTCTTGCGTGAAATCTTTGAGCTCAATTTAAGGCAAAATCACCAGTTCCATTTACCGTCTCACGGTGTGCCCACCGGTCGGGCCGCTGCACCATGACGACGGATCGGTGTAGCATAGGTATAGTATACTGGAAGGTCAGGCACGCGGATTCATGACCTTACCACTATAAAACAATTCGGAAAAGTACAGATACCTCTTGCTAAAAAGTGCAGATACCTCTTGCTTTGAACAAGCATGTGAAACCCAGAGAGCATTTTTAGACTATGACATTTACCCATATAGGTACCTAGTTGTGTGGCGGCGGGAGAGAGTAGGTACACCGACCTCTGGAGACCCCCACAGGTTCCGAGCTTCACTGGCGGATCCAGGGGGGGGCCACGGGGGCCATGGCCCCCCCCAAAGGCCTAAAGTGGCCTGTTTGGCCCCCCCCAAAACGTAAGAAAAATTGCTAAGAAAATATACCTTGATGGAGGTTTTTAGCCACTTGGTGAAGTAAAGCTTTCCACAGCATAATATGGAAGCAATATGGTAGCAGTGAGGGTCAGTCAAAAGTTGCGCGAGTGGAGTCGACCTTCAAAAAAGACTTGTTGGCACGTGTTTATGGCGCGGTAGCTGGGAGTTGGCGGTGTTTCGCGTGGTGTGGCATCACTGGCGGATCCGGGGGGGGGGGGGGGCACGGGAGCCTGAGGTGCCCCTGACAGACCCGTGGTGCCCCTGGCAGGCCTGTGGTGCCCCTGCTAGGCCGCTGGTGCCCCTGGGCCCTGACAGGACTGTGGTGCCCCTGACAGGCCCAAGGTGCCCCTGTAAGGCCTGTGGTACACCTGCTAGGCCTCTGGTGCCCCTGACAGGCCCATGGTGCCCCTGCGAGGCCGGCGGCGCCCCTGGCAGGTCTCTGGTGTCCCTGACAGACCTGGGGTGCCCCTGACAAGCCTAGCCTGTGGGGCCCCTCACAGGCCCGTGGTGCCCTTGTTAGGCCTGTGGTGCCCCTGGCGGGCTGGTAGTGCCCCTGCTAGGCCGGTGGTGCCCCTGACAGGCCTGTGGTGCCCCCGGGCACCAAGGGGGGTCATGACCCATGTGGCCCCCCTTGGATCTGCCACTGGTACATATTATATTGATTTGTAATGGCGTTATGGCTTATGCAATATGCAATTGCAGGCACTTGGTATCCCTCACTTATCCCTCATTGGGGGCTCTGGCGGGCTCCTGAGGGCCCACGTCTATCTCCGGGAGCCCTAGACAGGCTCCTTTGGGTCCTTTCAGTCCACTATAGCATAAGAGGTCTCCATGCGAGTCCTATACATCTGAGGACGTACCCTGACGTCTGAGGTACTCAACTGCAGCTCCAATGGTCTCTTACACTGGCGGATCCAGGGAGGGGGCATTTAGGGCCATGCCCCCTTCCCAGAGGCCTAAAGTGGCCCGTTTGCCCCCTCCCCCAAGCGATAATGAAGCACAGTTCAATCAGTGCCTGGCCCAGGAGCCGAGTTAGACCACCTCCCGTTTTACCACCTCCCGGCCCGCAAAGGGACCCAAGCACTGACTCGAAGCGGGTTAACTGGTCGACAAAAGCAATAGTAAGTGTTTACAAAGTAATATAAAGGCATGGGTCGGGTGGGCTACCATTTATATATTTTTATTTTTAGTTAAAAAAAATATTCATAGTGTCAGGGCTGTGACGAAAAATAAGTGGCCTAAATCCGATGAGAAAACAGGATTTGGGGGTACCCTAGGTTTGGCTCCTGCATGAGTTGGCCCCCCCCCCCAAAACGCAAGTCTGGATCCGCCAGTGCCGAGCTTTCAGAATTGGCATCTGAGGGCCGCGCGCGACTCCTGCGGGGCTTCGCAACGGCTCTGTTGGGGCTCACTCCAACCTGCCTAGTCCTACTGCTAAAAAGACTGGCCCTGAGCCCTAAGGACTTCATCAGTCTCTGCCAGCCCCAGGACCCACACCGGCTCATGGGGTCCCGACGTCGAAATATGAGGGAATCAGCGCGGGACCATCAGGACGTAAAGCAATCTCGATCAGGACCAACGTAAGGCTGTGCCGGAGACTGCGTGAGCCCTCTGATCTTCAGAAACCCACCCATGTATGTTTTCATGTAGAGGCCAGTTTAGGGCCCTCAGAGACCAGTACAGGGCCTGCAAACTACAAAGGCCAGTAGTTTGAGACCATCAGAGACCGAGTTGGGCTCTCAGAGGCTAATGTTGGTCCTTACTCATTACAGGCCAACATGGGCCCTCAGAGGTGGCAGCGTGGGGCCCTAAAAGACCGGCATGAGCCGTCGTTGGACCCCAGAGGCCAGCAGAGGGCCCTCAAAGGCCAAGATGGGCCCTCCTCAGAGGCCAATGCAGACCCTTAGAGGCCCGCATCGGGTCTTCAGCAGCCAGTGCGGGCCCTTATTGGCACCTAAAGGTTCGTCTTGGGACACTAGAGACAGAAATAAGGCCACCAGAGACCGGTGTGAGACCCTCAGACGCCGGTTGGGACCCCTGAGGCCGGTTAGGGGCCCTCATAGGCCAGATGTGGGGCCTCAGAGGTTGATGTAGGCTCTTAGCGGTCAACGTGGGCGCTTGACCGCCACTGAAGTTCCCTCAGAGGTCAGTGTAGGACGCTCAAAGACCGGTGTGGGAGCTATATTAATAGCTTGGCGTGGGTTTTTTTAGCCTCGTGACGATCGAATAATTGCCAGGGCCCCATACACCTATATGGTGGCCCATTGGTTGTTTGAGGGGGGGGGGGGGTCAAATGATATGATAGCCCCCTTTATTGACCTTTGGGGGCATGGCCCTGATGCCCCCCCGGCCCCCCGCGAGTCGCGACCGCCACTGTGTACACATTACACACATGCCTCTGAGATTACATACTAGCTCATGCAAACTCTATGCAGGCCCCGAAGGTCCCACGCTAATCCTTAAGTAACCAAGCCGGCATACGGCATCACCACCGGGCTTCTGAGGTGCACAGCACCAACCTATGAGGTCTTACTTTAGCGTCTTGGAGCCAATCTCCTTTAGCGGGGCCCACCCGCCACTGCCGAAGAGGGTCGCATGCCAGCCATTGCTGAATGCTGGGCCTACGAGAGCCTTAAGTAAACCCACGCTGATATTCCATATAAGATCCGGCCATACTCGTGAACCGGTGCCAGCGACGCTGACCACCAAATTGACAGAATGCGAAACTGAGCCCACTCATGAGTGAAATTTACGTCCTTTGATGGCGCAAGAAAGAAAATGAAACATACGAAAAGCTTTTCTAGGACTTTTGTTCGATCTGAAAGGTGGGGCCAAAAGATAGTATGGCCCCACCTTTCAGCACCAAAGGGGGGGCCATGGCCCCCGTGGCCCCCCCTGCGACCGCCAGTGGGCACAATCATCAATGATCGCAGCAAGGGCCAAGGGCCAAGGCCGTATCCGTCCGAACCCCGTGGGAACCGCGCGGTGCAATGCGTATAATTATTTGGCAGCATTTCAGCGAGAGAATTTCCTTCACTGAGGAAGCAAAATGCGACATAAGTGGATGACCTGTTTCAAAATCGAAACAGACGCTTTTTGTTTTGAACGCTTGGGTTGAGATTGGTTGGGATTGAGAGATTTTTGAGAGGTTTTGGTAATTTATTATCTACTACACAGAAATTAGAAAAGCATTTTGTCATATGTGTACCCAGCTATAAGGGGTCAATTATTACGCGCTAAATCATCAAGAAGATATCATTCTGCTTCCAGGGATATTGCCGCTGATATCTCAATCTGTTTCTACCTTGAGCTAAACTTGAACTGAAAAATTTCAGCTCAAGCTCAAAGCTGGAGAGTGGGGTAAGTGTGTGCGCGGCTATGTATACACGTTAAAAAAGGGACCCACCCACCATCAAAAAAGTTAATGAATTCGTATAATCATAAAGGTGACGTCGCTCGGATCAGAAAGAGCGAAAACACACTACCTCCAGCCATATACACAGAAGTGTGACGCCTGCTTTACAACTACCACAATTTATTGGCTATGTGGTTGACTGCTTTGACTTGGGCCTGTTTTTTCCATGAAAGATCCTGAATAGTGTAATGCTAAAAGAATCAAATCTGTAGACTGAACCTGAACTGGTACCTACTGTCGCAATTCAAAGGTTCATGCTTAAAATGGGTGAGATGTTTTCTTATTTGTATTAGTATTGTTTCCTCAGTTTCATTGGTATGGAATGCCAGAGGGAGCAATTGCTTTTTATTTGTTATTCATATTTCATCATTCTTTTCATCTTTATTTCATTTTTTCATCAATCTTTGTTAATCAGTCTTTTTTGCCCATTTACAGAAGGGATCATGCTCCTCTCCTCCATTCCCCTCCCTTGGGCATCAGCATGGCTGCAATGAGACTAGGACTTAGGAGCCTTTTCCATCCCTGGACTGGTGCAGCTTGGGCTTGCAACTCATGAGTAATTGGCACCAAGATTCAAAACTGGAAACTTCCAAAATCCTAACTCTGGCCATGGGGAGGGTGCCTTAACAGTTAACTGCAACTAGCCATGTCACCACTACCAGAGCCACAATCATCTGTTGTTTTCTTATTCAGAGTATCTCTGATTTTAACGAGATTTTATGGAAAATAAATTGACACTTATTTGGATATTATTTAATATTTACATGGCCTGGAACAGCTTTGGTCTTCCTCTTTCATCAATCGATGACATGTTTACAGGTGAAGTGTAACAATGGTGGTGTGCACCTACTACAACCAGGGATACTGCCGCTATGGTGACCGGTGCAGGTTCGACCATCCCTTCAAGGGCCCAACAGCAGGTAAGAAATGCTCCTCAAGACCTCATGGTAGACATGTGCAGCCTGCTTGTCATGCACCGCTGTTTTTTTATAATTCATATGCTTGAAACTCCTTGGAGCTGTCAATCTTTTGCGATGGATGTTGAACCTAACAATTTAAGGTCAACTTTATTGTTGTTGTTTTTTCGAGTTGAGCTGTTCAGAAGTTGTGGCAAAGTTTTAGGTATCTTATGTTATATTAGATTAGATTAGATTTATAGGTCTTGAGTTTGCAAATGATAATCGCAGAGCATGTTTTCATGCTGACTGATGGTATGACTGAATGCTCCCTTCTGTCAGTGTTTGTCTTGTGACCACTCCTCCTGATTGCCACAGGCGCTGGGGCCAATTATCGAGCCCAGGCACAGCAGCCAGCTGCTGCAGCAGGCACTCCCAGCTCATTCAATGAGTTGCTGTAAGTACCTTAGGTTTACTGACAAACTTAACCTGGGGGTTCTGTCTCTTCATAGATATGACATATCAAGACAGTTTTATGTTATTTCCTCATTCATACAGTCGCTTTGCCACTTATTTTCCCACCAAAATGTAATTTGAACTTCCAATGACTCGAAACTATTTTCTCCAGCACCGGGATCGCCAATGAAATGAAGGTGTGGGAGAATTCAAAGCAGTGGCCCTTCTCCTGTTTCTCACCACTGAAGGGCCAGCCCTGCATCCCAGGTGAGAGACCTACCCGACTACTGCATCGTGTGGCGGCTCTGACGATTGTTATTATCACTAAACTGCCTATTCCCCTATTTCCAGCGCCACATTGATGTTCCCGATCACGATTCTGTCTGTGAAATAATTTCGTTTCTCATGGTTCATTATATGAGGCCACAACTATATAGAGTGGCTTGCCACACTTTCATCACAGAGGACAGGTGTACGAGCGTAATCTGTCACTGTGACTGCGCACTCCAGGGCTGTCTGACCTGACATGGAGTATTAGCTTTCAGAGGTCGGTAATTGTGTATACATCCTGTGTGACCTACTGCTCCACGCTCAGGGCTGACTGACCTCTCACCGGAGGAGGTGCGGGCGGAGGCGTACAAGAGCAAAGTGGCCAACACGCCGGATGCTTATGTAAGTGTGCTGTTACCTTAAATCCTACTTATACTTCTACCGGCAAACGTCGAGAACTCGTGCACGGTTTATCCTGTGCTGGGCGTAGTGTCCGTTTTCTATTGCTGGTTCGCTTTTAACTTCTGCCATCGCTAGCCTTCTGACACACTGCGTGCAGTTGCAGTTCTTCAACGCCAAGGTGGCCGAGTATCGCCAGAAGCGGGCGTCGCTGCATAACGCCTCTCCCGAGATGAGGACATACATGGTAAGTGTCACCGCTCTGACATACGGTCGGGGGACGGACGGTTAGAGTGCTTAGGAGCGTGCCGATACCGCTCCGAAAAGTGGGATGGTCGCCCATGACGTCATGGGGGTATAAGGCCTAGTGCAGTCCCGAGGGATATCGAGGACCGGTCTTTAGGAAGGAGCCGGAGGCATCTTCAAGGGGATTAATTCGGTCGAATATATTTATTTTAGATCAAAGTGGAACATATTAATTGAAGCTCTGTGCGAAATGGTATGTGTCGACCATCGATGACCCGCCAGCTGTTCAACTTGGAGCGAAGATTTTGTGTGGTGGTGGTGACCAAAGGCATGGTTTGTAACGGTGACCGCCAGTGAGCGTAAGCAAGTGTGTAACCCGCGACCGGTGACCAGTGCTGGCAGGATAGTGTGTGAGCCGTGCCTGTCTCTGACCCGCAGCAGCAGATGTTCAGCTCGTCTCTGAGCGGCGGCGGCGGCACCGGCAGCTCGACGTTCGGCGGCGCTCCGCAGACCTCAAAGTCTCTGTTCGGAGGCGGTGGCGGAGCGGCCGCGGCCACCGGTGCGGGCCTGTTCGGAAAGTCTACCGGGCAGTCAGTGCTCGGCGCTCAGACCGGCTCCGCGTCTGTGTTCGGGGCGAGGCCGCAGCCGACCGGCTCAGTGTTCGGTGGACAGACCCAGCCAGCGGGATCTGTATTTGGAGGACAGAGTCAGCCGGCAGCCGGGTCAGTGTTTGGCGGGCAGAGCCAGACGACCGGGTCGGTATTCGGAGGACAAGCGCAATCAACAAGCTCGGTATTTGGAGGACAAAGCCAGCCAACAGGTTCGGTGTTTGGAGGTCAAACACAGTCAACAGGGTCAGTGTTCGGAGGTCAAAGCCAGCCAGCAGCTGGATCGGTGTTTGGAGGTCAAACTCAACAGACTGGGTCAGTCTTTGGGGGTCAAACTCAACAGACTGGTTCAGTTTTCGGGGGCCAGTCCAAGTCGGGTGGATCGGTATTTGGAGGGCAAACTCAGCCGAGTGGATCTGTGTTTGGAGGACAGAGTGGGTCGACCTTTGGCGGACAGACTCAGTCCACCGGCTCAGTCTTCGGCGGTCAAACTGCGTCCACCGGCTCAACGTTCGGCAGTCTAGCTCAGACGACCGGTTCAACATTTGGTGGGCAGCCTCAGACGACTGGGTCGACGTTCGGAGGGCAGACTCCGGCGGCCAGCTCGGTGTTCGGTAGCCAGCCGGCGCCGGCCGCCGCTGCCCCTGCCGGCTCTGTGTTCGGCGGCCAGGCAGCACTGCCCGGAGCGCAGCCGGCCGGGGGAGGCGGGGGCCTGTTCGGGAAGGGCGGCGCGCCGGCGGCTGGCGCGGCCGGCACCCAGCCGACCGCCGCCCCCGCCGACGCCTACAGCGAGCCCTCGGAGCTAAGTGAACAGGATCGCGAGCAGTTCGCGGCGGCCGAGTTCACGCTCGGTAAGGTGCCGCTCGTCCCACCGACTAGGGAAATGTGCGCTCGTTGAAAGTGATCAATTTGTACCTGCCGAGATAGAGGAACGACGGGAGACACCATTGTTTACTGCTGCCTGAGAAAATAAGGGGGGGGGGAGAGTCTGATTCACCCTCGTGGTCTGATCTGGTCCCGGGTGAACCACGACAGCTGATCTGCCGTGCACCGCTCAGTGCACGTTCGGCGTAATGTGGGCGTCCTATCAAGGGATGTTAACACTGCAGTATACTCGCCTCGTCAGGCTCGCTGTGTCCGTGTGGCTCCGAAGTGCGACCGCTGATGGTCGTATGGGTGCCCAAATATTGCTAGACATCGTACTGGATTGTAAGAGCGTTGATCTTGCTTGTGATGAACAGTTTTTACGATAGAAGTTGTACGCAATGAGCTGAAATGTATTTTTGTATTTTGTTGAATGTGTAAGCACGTGAAAGATACATTGTAAAATATAAGATTTAAATGAAACACGGGTATGTAGCATTGGTTAAAAGCTCAACGCGAGTGACTGGAAACTGGTGGAATCCACTATGCTCCATGAACAACAGTTCGTCGTTAGTTCGACCAGTCTTGGACAGCTTTTACCATGCGCCATGTATCCACTATGCATCCGGGGAAGCCGAAGCCCATAATCGCCTCTGAACCTAGGCACATCTGCCCTGTGTGCAGCAGCCGTAAAGACAAGCGTAATGTAAGTACACAAATAAAAACACCTGTATTTCCGGTTCACAGCACGCATGTCTTATCCCAATAACAACAAACAACAATCCTCCATATTCCACGACTCTACCGCAGCGGTTACCACAGGTTCAGGCACTGACCCGCCGACACAGTCGGCACCCCCCCCCCCCCCTGAGTCGTGTCACGACGCGCCGGCGGCCGGCTGGCACCTTCCGTCACCGTGCGCCGCGCACCTACACTCCGCTCCAACCGTCTCCGTCTCTCCCTCGTCCTCGTCTACGGGGTCCGGGGGTGAGAACTCCCGGAACACGTTGTAGGGCTCGGCCATGGAGCTGTCGGCGGCTGGCTCACATTCGGAGACGTGCCGCGAGCGGGCCTCGGCCGCGGCCGCCGCCGCCGCGCCCGACGGCTCGGCCGCCTCCGTGTCAATCAGGTCACACGCCTGCCGAGCGGGGGAGTCACACGCGGGTATGTGACGATTGCCGATAGTGGACGATGATTAGGGATGAAAGGAACGGTAGAACCAGATGAATGTACATTGAAGATTAAAAACACGTCATTTGAAGACCTCAAGCTACTACCGTTTTTCGAATGTCTGGCTAAAATACGTCTTTCACAATTAAACTAGATCCTGATTCGGCACTATCGTTTTATATCGACAAACAAACAAACAATACATTCATTTCGTTAAAGAAAATACATTTCAGTCGACATTTGCACACCTTATTGCAATTTACAGGTCACAATCTTGGAACGCAAAAAAAATCCGATGCAAGGTTGATACAGCTAGACAGAAACTAACCCCGCACATCTCCCATTACCAGGTAGCACAGCCAAGTTGATAGGCAACTACGCAACACCCTACTTGATCTGCTCTGGGTGTCTACGTCGCTCTCACCTTGCCCAGTATGATGATGGTGTTGAGCACGCGGAAGGCGGTGAGCGCCAGGTAGGCGGCGGCCAGCACGAGCCAGGAGGCGGCGCCGCTGAGCCGAACTGACTGCATCAGAATGCGGGCCGTGAGAGCGGCCAGCGGCAGCGAGATGAAGCCCATCCGGTGGCTGACCACGTCCGAGTGGTCACTGAAGGCCTGCGGGGGGGGGGTAGGTTAGGTTAGGTTACGTTAGGTTAGGGGGGAGTGTTACTGGTCAGTGGTCACTGGTCACTGGACCCCTGCCTGGGGGGGAGGGTGTCACTGGTCAGTGGTTATTGGATGACTGCGGCGGGGGGGGGGGGGGGCGTCACTGGTCAGTGGTTACTGGACGCCTGCCAAGGAGGGGAGGGGGAGGTGAAAAAGTAAGTGGTCACTGGACGGATAGTCACTGAACTCCTGCAAACAGCCAGTGGTCAGTGATAACTCATGAAGGCCTGCCGAGGAGGGGTGGGTGTCACTATCAATGGTCACTGGACGCCTGAGGGGGAAGGGGAGGGTGTCAGTGGTCCCCGAGGGAGAGGGGAGCGTCACTGGACTGGCAGCGGGACCTCACTGATCACTTAACAAATGCCAGATCGGTTGATCGCAGGCAAGAAATGCCACTCGTTGCCAACGAGATCTTACTCTATCGAATCATACGCGAAAATAAGCATTTTACACTCACTCTGCAGCAAACCACATAATGCGTGGGCCATGGAGTATTCATATGACATCGTTACTAAAGGTCAGCGTCACGCCACTCACATATTTCTGTTTGCTGGCGATGAGATCGTAGGCGAGCGTCAGCGTGTACTCGCGGTAGATGTCGGCCGGGATCTCGTTGAATCGCGTGATGAAGGCGTGTTTCACCCAGTCGACAAACAGCTCGGCGATCAGCACCATGGCGCAGTCGGGGAGCAGCACCCACAGCTGGGCTGTCGGACAGAGCATACAGTCAGCCACCACAGTCAGTATAAACCAGTTGGGGAGCAGCACCCACAGCTGGGCTGTCAGACAGAACAGACAGTCACCTCATAGCACAGATAACATACATCAGTCGGGGAGCAGCACCCACAGCTGGGCTGTCGGACAAAACAGATAATAAACGCCAGTCGGGGAGCAGCACCCAAGCTGGGCTGTCGGGAAGAACAGACAGCCACTGCAGTCAGCATACATCAGTCAACACTCAACAGCTGGGCTGTCGGACAGAACAGATATGAGATAACATACATCAGTCGGGGAGCAGCACACACGGGCTGACGGACAACACCTTCAGTAAACACGGCTGGTCTCACTACGTGGTAGGCATTCTTTTTCGACAAAACCGATAGTAACTCGAAGGCTTGGTCACCCGGAAATCATCGAAATCATAGAAGGCCAGTCACTCCGACAACATCGCACCTACCCTCGCTCCATCCGAACTCCTTCATGGTCTGCACGACGACCAGCATGAGCAGGATACAGTACTGGAACCGCTCACGGATGTCGCTACACGCCACCTGCAGCAGGTTGTTGCGGTCGAACTTCTTGAACACGGAGCCCTTCAGCTCGACAAACTGCGGACGGGGCGGAGCCGGCCCGTAAAACAGTGAAGAACGGCATGGTCAGCTGCACACGAACACTAAAAAAGCATCTAGTTACTGGTTGGTGTCAGAATCTGGGCTACAAAATGGAAATCCTGTCAAAAGCTATACAATTCACCGGTTCCAGTTTTGCGAACAGAAAATCGCCAGCCATGGTTAGCTTTAGCATTAAGTAGCCCACGAATTTATAGAAAGATGATATCAGTACATATTTTTCATTTAAAACGCAAGCGTAAAATAATCCTAACGGCCATGTCATTATAAACGACGCATTTATCGAAATAGTGTCGCTAAATGTCTGTCAAACGTGTCTTTTCTGACACATACATCTGACATTTGTTAGCCGACCAGTAACACAGGCGGGGGAGGAGGTGACAGGGGCCGCCCGGTAACCGCAGTAAAAGTCATCGTCATTTTTCAGCGAACAGCCCGTCCCGTGATGGCCGCCCGATGCACCATTGACACCAAACTGGTGGGAGCGGTATGTACTTACGTTGTTGGACATCATGACGGTGAGCAGGGCCTTGTTGTTGGAGTTTATGGCGACGTTCAGCACCGTTACTTGAAACAGGATCAATATACTGTGCATAACTGCGTAATGCCGAGTCAAGGCCGAATATCGTATATGATGGCGAGACAGTCATTAGCATCTCAGATTGTAAAGCTCATATGCGCAAAACTGACACGTAAGCACACATATTTGCATAAAACAAAATTATGTTGAACACCCAAGCAATACACAACACTTAAATATGCACAAACACTACGCAGGCTTCTACCTTTTCCCATTCATCAGCCTTCGCCAACAACCACCCCGCGCCTGACCCTGCCGTCTCTCTGCCCGGTAAGGATACAGACATAGACGTTGGCCAGGAAGAAGTGCGGCAGGGTGCCGAGGTGCTGCCGTTTGCGGCGGCGCGGCTCAGTGGCCGTCCAGTGCAGAGCGTCCAGCGAGTCCTGGCCGAAGGACGACATCAGCTTGTCGCCCACCTCCAGCATGTTGTAGAAGATGTACAGTTTGATGATGGACTGGCTCTTCACCTGAAAGGGGGAAAGGTGAGTCCCACAGTTCCCGGGACTCGACAGACAGTTGGAGCTCAGACACTGAATCAAGCACAGACCGACGACGTCACAGCTTTCCTGTGAACTGACAATCATGGAATGTTCACTTCCCAATGGCTTTTCAAGTTCACAATAAGAATAAAAAGTTGATTGACGTTAACAGCACGCATCACTGCACCATGCAGGAGACGGGCGGTGGTCACCGGCAGTTGGGCACGCACCACGTGGTACAGCATGGAGGTGTCGATGAAGGCCATCATCCGGCACGTGATGATGACAATCAGACCCTTCATCAGGTCGATGATCTCCGAGGGCTTCAGCCACTGGCCGTGGCTGCCCTGCCGCCTCAAACTGAAAAAGAACGGCCACTAAATCAACAGACACACCACAGAGTACGCTAGCAAACAGTCGCACTTTACACTAGAATTGGCCGTGGCTGCCCTACCACGTCAGTCTGCAGACACAGGGCCACTAAACCAACAGAAACACAATAAATTAAGGTTTGGCAAATACTCAAATAGCCTAGTATTGCTGCTAAATATCGAAGATGTTAAAATTTGATCAGATATCGTACCTACAAATAAAGTATAAACTACAGCCTAGCCCATGGACGCTTGAACATCAAACCAAATCATCCAAAAGTTTTCATATCCGCACTCACGGATAATCTTTCATTTTTTCCCCAAAGGGCGCCGGCAGACCTAAACTCCAGTTCATCAATACACCGAGTTAGCGTGTAGACTCGAGGATAGCATCCATCGTTACCCTGCACCGTCTCGCCCGTAAAGGAGGCGACTTTCTGACCGGTGTGCACGTGGTACACGCAGAGTAGGGAACTCACCCGATGGCACCCAGCAGAGGTCTGGTAGCCAGCGCCCACACGGCCAGCACAAAACGCAGCGGCAGGAACGTGAAGATGAACAGGAACGCATCCACCACCTGGAGGTGGTACAGAGAGAGCACATGTCACTCAGGCGCTGTCCTGGTAAGATGAAGGATGGGTGCGAGAGAGAGAGAGAGAGAGAGAGAGAGAGAGAGAGAGAGAGAGAGAGAGAGAGAGAGAGAGAGAGAGAGAGAGAGAGAGAGAGAGAGAGAGAGAGAGAGAGAGAGAGAGAGAGAGAGACAGAGACAGAGACAGAGAGAGAGAGAGAGAGAGAGAGAGAGAGAGAGAGAGAGAGGGAGAGGGAGAGGGAGAGGGAGAGGGAGAGGGAGAGGGAGAGGGAGAGGGAGAGGGAGAGGGAGAGGGAGAGGGAGAGGGAGAGGGAGAGGGAGAGGGAGAGGGAGAGAGAGAGAGAGAGAGAGAGAGAGAGAGAGAGAGAGAGAGAGAGAGAGAGAGAGAGAGAGAGAGAGAGAGAGAGAGAGAGAGAGAGAGAGAGAGAGAGAGAGAGAGAGAGAGAGAGAGAGAGAGAGAGAGAGAGAGAGAGAGAGAGAGAGAGAGAGAGAGAGAGAGAGAGAGAGAGAGAGACATATTTCGCATATAGTTAGCGACAATTTTCGACGATTCGGCGCATAACTCAAGAACGAATAGAGCTACCAGCGCCGCCAAAAAGTGCATTTCATAGCTCTTTTAACGATCTTTCTAATTATTGCCTCCATATTTGACTAAAGATTAATGGTTAAGCCTATAGAGGACAAAAACTGTTAAAATATACTCGTCGCCAAGGTTGCTCGACCTTTATTTTACTAGCATCGTGAGCTTCTCGTCGAAACGCATCGAATAAAGTAAAATCTGATAAAAAAGGTCTACTTGAAAATTTGAGCTAAGGTTAATGCAATAAAGTCCAAAGTCGAAACCCTGACGGAAAAAAGTCAACGTGCATATCAATCGATGCGTATCGTGGAGCTGAACACATCCAAGGTATTGTCTTTTTATCGCTATAGCATGTCTCTATCAAAAGTCATCTATACTCGACACTCGTGGAAAACCGGAAGACGGGTGTTCAACCCCCTCCCCTTCCAGCAGGGCGCGGGTTAACTGGCAATCACATAATAATGAATCTCAACAGTTGAGATGCATCAATGCCTGAACTTCGACTGCACTCACTGCCACGGTCACCGCCGCGGCCGGTGACGTGAGACGTGGGTGTGGGTCACAGCCGTGATGTGAGACGTCATACCCGCCTGAGATTACCGTCCCTGGGCACCGCCTCTTTATCATTACCAAAATCAGATTTAAAGCATCAACCAGTCACCCGCTTGCAGTTTAAGTAAATTCAGTGACTATCAATAAGACATTTGTGTACAATTACATGGCTAACATGTCTAAAGATAAGAAGAGGGAAAGCTAGACTCACCTGGAAAAATCCATAGCCAATCAATTTTTCAATCTCTCTAGGGATCTTCATAAATGTGTATATTTGCTCCCTTTTGAACTCATATCGCTCTTCATGTTGTTGAAGGAAGTAGCTACGAGTTACTTCAGATTTCAGAAACTTGCAAAGTGAAATGCCTGCAAGAAAACAAATATATCAAGGTAGAGCAAATTCTTAAGCCTCCTTTGTAGACCTTCAAAGACAGACCCTATTAGGTAAAGAAAAGGTAATGGTAATGCCATAGATTATGTACCTAAATACCCTTGAAAGCAAGTAAAAACAATTTGCATTCACTTTGTATCAAAATAAAAACATTTGGTTTAATGAGCTAGCAGTTCTCATGCAGATGGAATAGGTACTCACGGTTCTTTCTTTTTCTATCCTGAGCCATGACAATCCAACAAAGCTAAATTTCTTCTCCAGGAGCTGATCTTGATTTGCACAGAGGGAGCAAATCCTGGAAGCTTCTCCTGGTAAAGATAGAAGAGGATACAAGATCAGTCATGCTGTTATGGGGCAGGGCTGGCATACCATACCTACAGCAGAAATCAGACAGCATGTAGCAGAATTGTGTGTTTATCTGAAGAGAACAGGCTAGTTGAAGTCTAAGCAAGGGTGGATCCAGGGACATCTGAAAAGTGGGGCTAAAGTCCCATTAGGTTTTTCATTAGCATGGGGCTGGTTGGTTGGTTTGGGTTAAGCACCATATATCCAGCACCCAGCGGACCAAGAGCGGAGCTCTCACACTGTTCCAAGTGGCCAGGCACTGGTAGCATTGCCCAGGAATGTTAGCATGGGTCTCAGGAAACATAACCTACCCCCAATTCCTATTTTATCCCCAGATTTGGCTTATTTATTTTGCAGGGTTCTCAAAAATAAATTCCTAGTAAACAGATCCAAAACTTGGCAGCTGCAGATTAAAAGGTGTTAAGAAAAAAGCTGTGGTTGGCAGCTGCCATTTACAAGAACAAGACACTTCCACTTTACATTCAGCTTTCCACTCCTTTTTGGGTATTAGTAGAGCAGACGTCACACGAAGGTTTTCCAACCAAGGAGAGGCGCCATACCCGGTGGTGCTTCTTTCTAGGGAAACCTAAACAAACCTAACCTTACCTGACCTAACCTAACCTACAACCTATAACCTACAAACCTGCAACCTAAAAACCTACAACCTATAACCTACAAACCTACAAACCTACCCTACAACCTACAAACCTACCAGACTGGAAAACATCCATACACTACGCCGGACGCCTGTGAGACCCTCTTGCGCCGAAATTCGTCGCAAGCGATTTTGCGCTGAAATTTCTGTGATTTGCGCCAAAAGTTAGGTGCTCAATGCCCATTTCTGCGAAAATTAAGCCCTTTTTATATAAAGCACATGTGACATGTCATGTGCACATCTACCGATCAAGGCTATATGAACCAGACAGAGCGTTCCGGGGCCTTGTACGCTCTCCCATGTTTGAGCGTCCGAATGAGTTTTTGATTTCACGGAAACCCAATACCTCAATAGTCTTAGCGCACTCTAGCTTCATGCCGTGAAACAAAGCTGGAGCCGTGAGTTCCGGGGCCACAACGATGAGGGCCGTGCCACAGTGCCGATGTTAATATCGGCGGAGCAATGTGTTCGAGGCTGGCGGGAGTCAGCGAGGGCCGGGCAGCGGGACAGCATGTGCTCCGGCACATCACCCTCTTCTCGGCACACGGCACTCGGCACACGGGTCACCGCTTGTCTGGGCACTGCTGGCACGCCGCGGAGTGGAGACAGCCGATTCGGTGCCGTATTCGTATTGGAGCGAGCGGCCCCAAGTGGCCCGCCCTCATCTGGTGCACCGAAACGGCATCCTCGGTCCTCTCCGGGGATAGGGAGCGGCGGCGTGCTCCCGAGGAGTGGCTTGAAATGAATAGTGATTCTGAGCAGTTGTCGCGCTCTGCGCCGGACAGTGCGATGCGAGGCCGCACAGTGAACTGCCCTGGTCAGCGAGTGGGCGTTTGAGGGCAGGGCGGCCGCCTGTTTTGCCAGGTCGTCCGCGCTCTCATTCCCCTCGATACCGCAGTGGGCAGGAACCCAATGTGGTATTGCTTAACGACGCTTGGCGATGTTCAACAAGGTCTTCTTTACCTATCTCCACGCCGAGGGTCCAGCGTACTGCATAAATTCGGTGATCGTATTTTGCCAAAAAATTATGCGACCGCCCTGCGCCGAAAAATTCATCCGCCACCATGCGCTGAATGCGGCACATGCGAAGTTACGCCGGACGTGCGCTGAAATTTTTGGTGCAATCCCGCCACTACACCGGACATATTCGGCAAAACGTGTATTTTTTCCAGTCTGGCAAACCTACAGCACCTCTCCTCGGTTGGAAGCTCTACTAATGCCCCTTTTTGTTCCCTCATTTTCCACTTATCTTCACTTTATCATGTATTTACATCTAAATTTGCTACTTCCTTATGAGCTGGAGCCCTGAAGTAATTCAAGGTGACGAGCAATTAACCCTGAGGAAGGTATATAAAACACTCTGCATAAAATGGTACCAATATCAACCGGACTAGGTACTGACCCCAACGTAGGTATAAATCACAGTTAGTATTAACAGTTAGCAGCCTTCCAGCCAACTACCGCCAACAACACTTCGAATTGTAAGAGAGTAGGTACAGCCTACAGGTACAAAGGCTATGAAGGTACCAAATAATTTTACACCGACATTTACAGCCAATATCAACATGCATTCCTGATTCAATACCCTTATCCGATATGGCATTGGCACGGTCATAGATACTAACGATATGGCATATACACTGTGCAAGTAGGTAATGTTCATAGCTAACGCAGTGCTATTAACGATCCTTCGAGAGCAGAAAATTTGCAAAGCACTATAGTGAGATTTTGCTTGCGTAAGCAGTAAAACGTACAATATAAAACAATACAATTGTAGCTTGGACACCAGCTTTGTATGAAATCCACAGAGGAATGAGACTAGTAAATACTATAGTCTCTAATTTTAGTACGGCTTGTGAGAGCGAAGAGGATATCAAATTGTCAATGTTTCGGCCCTAACCCCCATGGCCAATGCAGAGCAGAAGCTAGTGCCGCCGGAGCTTCCGTAGGTGCAGCGTACTGCGTAGATGTATTCGGTGGCCTTCGGAGCTGCTCGGAGTCACGATGAGCTGAATAGGTAGGACCGATTGTAGGTACTAGCTCCGCACTCCGCAGTCCGCACCGGCTTTAGTTCACTTAGTATTAGTAAGGGTTCCATTCCAAACATAGGTAGTCATCACCCTCTGCACGGGTACGCGCCACCCGCGAACAGGGCTCGAGATAACTCGCGATAGCTCGAGACAGTTCAGAGCGGGACCAGACTGACTCGGCCGCGAGCGCCCACCGCTCGCGGCCCGACACCTACCGCCTATGCTATACAGGCCGAGTGCCGCAACTATGGTTCAACACTCGGAACGCTCGAAAGTCAGAACCGAGGCTGTATATCGTTGCCCATCGGAACGGTCAACGGGTGTGGTGCGGTGAAGAACAGGACGTGAAGCATCTCCGGCCCTGACTGCAGGCTAGTCCCGCCAAGGATGGAGTTCAATGATCGGTCTCTGGGCCTGGGGCGCTCTCCAGTGTGTGAACTTATCGGAAATGTTGTTAAGCCTCGCCGTACCTACCAGTGGTTTCCGCATGCGATAGGATGAGCGATAAACGATAAACGATAATTATCGCTGTTAAGTAAATCGGTTATCGTTATCGTTTATCGCTGAATTTTCAAAATTATCGCTCATACACTTATCGCTAGTTACAAAAAATTATGAACAATAAACGATAAAACGTAAAAAGGGATGATGGAAAAATGAAAGACGATCGACAGTGTATGCCGCGCGATAGAATGTGTGCGCAACCTGTTGCCCTCTGCTGTAGGTAGGTATAGATCTGCAAATAGACTTTAAGTGACTTATTTAAGATGTAAAGGTATTTCTTATCGCTTTTGTTGTCGCTGTTAAAAACAATTATCGTTATCGTTTTATTGTTTATCGTTTCGTTATCGCTGTTAAAACAATTATCGTTATCGTTTTATCGCTTTATCGCTATCGCTGTTAATTTTTTGAAAAAAAATATCGTTTATCGTTTATCGTTATCGCAAACCTTTCTTATCGTTTTCTCGTTATCGCAGGTCCGAAAATTAGTTATCGCGGAAAGCACTGCGCCGTACCTTTTAGTTTTCTGCATACCTACCCGGCCAACGGGGACGGTAGATATCAGATGTCCTGCCGTTCTGCCTCTCATTGAGCTAGAGCTTCGCGGAAAGAAATGGACGTGGCCAACCGGCGACCACTGAGTTGCTGCTCCGAAATCCGAATTCAATTTATAGTACCTGTACGAGTATATGGGTATATGTTCAACTCGACCCGATATATGTTCAATATAATATGTATACGGGTCGAGACTCGAGAGCCCCTAGGCTGGGCCTTGACTTTTGGTAAATAGCTTAACAAAAAAAAAAAAAAATGGTCGCGGAGCTGCAAATTGTTGGGAAATTGTGTATCGTCGTGTTTGTCATGCTCACTGCCCAGACGCGTCAAATGCTGTTTTTGTGATGTTGCCTTAGCTTGTTGACCTCAGGCCAAGATCAAGTCACAGCCACTCAGGTTACGAATCCGTTCAATTGATTTCATATCGCGTATCGTTCGGTCTTCTTGAGATGGTGGGACCCGCTCCTTTGCCGTGTCACCCCTAATTTAGCTAGAGTATCGCGGAAGAAGACGCGTGCAGCTTGCGCCGTTACCAGTCGCAGCGACTGGGATAATTAATTTTAAGCGCCAAGTCACCCGGTGACGTCTGAGGTCAGGCCAAGTGCCCGGATATCCGACTTTCGGTGAATGGCTTTGCCGGACTGTTTTCTTTTTGTTTTACATTTTGTGAAACTTTAGTGAGCTACGTATGGGAAGAAGTTCGTATACGGCTGGGGGTCCTGGATTTCCACGCCCTGCTGGGGTGGGGGGGGTGTTCAAACACCCCCTTCTAACTCGGCTCCTGGGCCACGTAGCGATACGCCGAAGGCGGCGTTCGAAAGAGCGTCAAAAATAATGACGAAATCACTTCGGTCAATTTTTTGGTCAGGTCAAAGGTCAGATCACCAGAGGTCATTGAAGGCAAAATTTCGCCGATTTCCAGGTCGAATGTCGACAATTTCCAAGAAGCCAACGCATAACTCGGGAACCAATAGAGCTACAGCGCTGCGGAAAAGCGCATTCGATAGCCCTATTAACGCCCTTTCTGAGTGATTCTCTCAGATTTGACCTAACGTCAACGGTTTTGCCTGCAGGGGGAAAAAACTGCAAAAATAGCCGATTTTTTTCGGAGACAGTTTTTTTTTCTGCAATAACTTTTGACCCAAGCCTTGTACGAGCTTACTTTTACCGGCATCGTGTTCCTCTCGTCAAGACGCGTCGAATGAACTATAACTTGACATTTAAAGGTCAACTTGAAAATTTGACCGCAGGTCAAGGTCATGATCTGACCGGGAAGGGTCATGTTGCATATCAGTCGATCCGTATCGTCGAGCTGAACACACCTAAGGCGTTTTCATCGCTCTAGCATGCCTCTATCAAAAGTTATTTGCGAAAAACTGTTAGATACCACTCGTGACCTAAGATGACCTCAGGGCATAAACAGGGGTCACGGACACCATTTTCATGTTCAGTGTGTCTAAACCACTTGTAATTCCGTGTTTGGGAGTGTTTATAATGTCCTTCGTCAAAAAGAGGCGCATTTCAATTTTCTCCCATTGACTTATAATGGGGAGGTCACAAAATTGACCTGACCTTAAGTCATCGGTATCAAAATTCTGAGATATACATTTTGTATATACATGCTATTGCTCTTAGCAATCGCTGAAAGTTTCAAAGCGATCGGTCACTCGGTGTAGCTTTGACAGACATTGGAACTTTTTATGAGGTGAGGTCACTTCAAGTGACCTGGTGACCTGACCTTGAATGACCTTGGTCTGAAATTTTCACAACATGTGTAGAATGGATGTATGATAAGGTGTACCAAAAACGGCGGCGCGGAGCGCCGCCGTTTTTGAGATATTCGCGAAAAACCACAAGGGGGGTGTTCAAACACCCCCCAGCAGGGCGCGGGTTAATGGCGAACTCCAGTGGGGAGCGGCACCCTGGGGCAGTTGTGAGTGACTCGTGCGTCAAGATCAACGTGGCTCCCTACCCCAGTTCCCATTCGAACCCGGGTCACCTGTTCAGGCAGGGGCGTGCACAGACTGACTTATAGGGTAGCATGTGTGGGATTGGTCGGAGTTTAACGCCATGACATTCGTTTTGTTGAGCTGTCAATGAGCTGTCATATTGCCGCGCGGTTCTGACGGTGACGGGCCGTCAAATTACGTGCGGGGCGGCTGTTCTGACATTCGGCGCAGTAGTGCTGTGGTCTGCAGTTCTATAGAGCCTTGGTCTGCAGAGCACAGCCAGAGGCCGACCGGCGCCGGCGCGGTGGGGTTTTACGCCGCTCACTCCGTCATCCAGTCTGTGTCGGGTGGAACGCTGGGGGGGTTTAGTCTGTCACTGGTGTCCGTGGCCGCTGTCCGTGGCTTAGTCTACCACCGGTCTCCGATCAGTTGACATGGGGCGTCTTGTGTCGGTATCTGCCGCAGTGGCTCTGGTGCTACTGCTCTGCTGCGCCGAACTGCGGGCTCACGGTAAGTTTGACTAACGAAAGCTTGCAGATTGTTCGGCATTGGGCAACTGCTTGCAGTTGCAAAGCTTGCAGCGCAGTGTGTAATGTAGAAGTTACGCAACAAGTATATGCCGTCTTCAGTACGGCGCGAGCGATTGGATAAAAAGTGTTTTACGATGGATCATCTGAAAACTATTTAGTGCATATTCGGTCAAAAGAGGTCGAATAAGGCTAAAATGGAATATTGTTATCATGCCTAAAATATCCAAAGCTCGAACCAAAGCTACCTTACCACGGTCTCCAGACTTCAAAGTTTTGCACATGTCTCCATAAGCTGTTACGATAATTTGTGATCAAATAGAGCGTTCCGCTGTTCAGCGCACACGGAAGCCAAATATGGGCCCTTGGTGTTATTCTCATTCAAGCATTACAGTCTCTAAAGTTAAAAAGCCAGGTGGCAGTCTGCTTAAACGTCTAACGCTATCTGGAGACTGGAGTCCTGCATTATATGCATGAAGCGAGGTATTGAGAGTGAATAGAAACATATCGCTCTTGCGTATTTCTATGCAGTCACTGCTATTACTTTTTTCAGAGCCTTTGACAAGCTGCAAGAAGAAGTGCCCCACCGGCCAAGAATGTAAGCTGGTGCGGAAATGCTGGAAGGGCCTGTGGTGTTTCTCATTGGCGGCGTGTGTTGACGTGCAGCCGCCGGCGCCGTCCGGGCCGCCGAGCTGTCAGGCGATCCGCTGCGCCGGCACCCAGGTGTGCGTGCTGCAGGAGGTGGTGTGCGCCGCCGTCACCCAGCCCTGCTACCCGGTGCCGGTCTGCATCGACGACCCGTGCGCACTGGCCCTCTGCGGCCAGCCGGGCACGCGCTGTGTGACCCAGCGGCGGCCGGACGCGCAGCCCGCCTGCACCCCGTTCCCCGGCTGCCAGTTCACCTCGGCCTGCGTGCCGAGGGCCCGGCCGAAGCCCGGCTTCTGTCCGGCGGCCAGCCTGGTGCCGGCCGACAGCGTGAAGCCGTGCACCTACGACAACGACTGTCCGTCGAGCCTGCTCTGCTGCCGCGGCGCCTCCGGCAGCAGCAGCTGCACGGCGCCCGCGTTCCCGAACCCCTGCGACGGCGTGACCTGCGGCCCAGCCGGCCCGACCTGCCGCGTGGTCGACGGAGTGGCGGGGTGTCTGGACCGGGTCTGCAGCCCGGGACCCGACTCCTACTTCTGCCAGAACAACACGCAGACGTTCTGCTCTCAGAGCGCCGCAATCATCCGCACCGACCTCCCCTGCTAAAGGTCATCGCCACATGTGCTCTAATAGGAAGTAATGCAATCTTACCGGTAATGGTCTTATTGCCTAATTCGGTGTCAGACATGTCATTCCCGTAGTATGGGTCTTTGATAGTTAATGCTAACAGAACTGACTGAAATTACTGAAATTATATGTTCCAACAAATCAATTTCACCCATGTGTCTCGAAAAACATGCAAGCGACAATACAAAATACGTATCGCGACAATCATAGACTGTGTGTATAAGATGACATATAATGCACGACACGGCAGCTTCTATGTGAATGGCGAGGCATTTCCACTGGCGGATCCAGAACGGTGGTCTGGACGCTGCGGGGGGCATACTCCCAAAAAAGTTTCTCCAACTTCCGAAAACTCCTCGGATTTCGACCCATTACGCACTGCTGTGGAGTTTAAAGCATACTGTTCCTAATTAAATTAGTACATAGTTTTAAAGTAAAGTAGTTTTATTCTCTAAAAAACGCAAATTTTCGTAGCCGTGCACGGCGACCTTCGGTTGCCACGAGGTGCGGGGCTTTGCCCAAAATGCCCCTATGGATCCGTCAGTGGGTTTTCCTGGCGGCCACTGCTGTTTGAAATATGCTCAGCTATGGCAGAGTTCGGTGTGACGCGACCTTCTTTTTATTTTGGCAATCGATAATGATATGCAATCAATATGTACAGACTATGGATAGTTGTTAGGTCTGGTCCTTGGCAAATTGCATACACGATTTAAAATGTCACTTAAGGTCAAAGGTCACAACACAAGCATACTTCAAAATACTTCTTAGAATGATGGCTGGCCCTTTAAACCCTCGCCGGCCGAGGAGTGCCCTCCCCGATACTTTTCGCGATAGCTCCAAACTCGCCAGCGCTAGAGAGCTGAGCCTTGGCATGCGTGACCTTTGATTCAAGTCAGATCTTGTGACACCAACCACATTTTCAGGTCAGGTCAGGTCACTGACCTATGACGTCAAAGTGAACCTATGCACGGTCATCAGATGTCGCAACTTCGTAACGAACGCCCTCAGTGCCAGAGGAACTTTCACAGGGAGGTGCAACTTACAGGACGTAGTATCCTCTCACAACTTTGTTTTTATAAATTTAGTCCGAACCTTTTGATGGGAAGGATTTACAAGGACAGAGCCACCGCTAAGCGAAGCTTGTTGCGACGACCCTGCCCTCTACCTCCGATCGCGCAATTCCGATTCTATGGCAGAATTTGGAGTCCAAAGTTTAACGTGCGCACAAAGCCGCGCACGGCCGGTCCCCTCGCTGACTTCGCCTGGCTACGGCCTGCCACCAACCGCAACCATACCTGTCAGGAGGCCCATAAATGTCGAGCGCCCGTCGCGCTTCGAACCCGGACTGTCATAACCGGGAACGCGTGCTCTCACCACGCGGAGTCCAACGCTCTAACCAACTGAGCTACGGGACCGGGAAACTTGTTCTCACAACTTGTATATCTCGGATTTTTTTTTCTAAATGTCACAAGAGGTCAGGTCGGTCACGTGACCTCACCGTCATAAGTCAATTAGAAAAAATGAAAACTGTTATTTTGGCTCCGGGAACGATCTCAAACTATCTCAAGCACAGGGAGTCCTGATTTCATGCACTCCTAGGAAATTCCGATGCTTCACTTTTGCATTGTTGACCTTTCGTCATGTAACGTAACGTCATGTATGACATCACTAGGGTCATAAGAACTCTTCGTCAAAAACTCCAGATCAAATTGAGCTAGCGAGTCAGGAAAGCCACCAATGGACTCAGGAAGGCCTGCCGAATCGAATGATATGCGATATGACCTCCTTTGACCAACTCCATGACCTGGGACTCTGACCTGACCTTGACCCGAGGTCAACACTCAACACCTCAAGTTGACATCCGAACAAAAAGTACACCATTCGACGCGCCTTAGCGAGGCGAACACGATGATGCTGTGACCGTTCTTTGCGAAGTTAATTATAATAACCGAGCCATTGCCTTGGGCCACTTGACCTGACCTCAGAGGTCACCGGTTGCCCTGAGACCTTAAAATCGGATACCAGTCGCTGCGTCTCGTAACGGCGCACACGTTCGTTTTTTTCCGCGACGCACAAGCTCCATCAGGGGCGAAACGGCGAAAGGGGGGGGGGGGGGTCGCACATGCCTACCAACTCCCCCTCCCCCGCTTCCGCCCTCGGCCGGCGCGTATGTAAAAAACCAATTGGTCCGGCTACGGTTACATATCACCCGCAGGGAGAGAGAACGGGTGCACTTCACCGTGATTCATAACATGCCGGTATTTCCAAAACAATTGCGTACTTGTCCTCTACTGGGAACAGCTGGTGCGACATAGCATGCCGTTCGGACTAGCTCGCCAGCAAAGGGGAGCTACCGCGCGATAACGATGATCGGCAAGGTCTGGGATTGCAGTACTACTTGGTATCTCCCTTCTCGGGGTAGTGCCTGCCACTGGCCCGTCGGAGGAGAGAGAGAGAGAGAGAGAGAGAGAGAGAGAGAGAGAGAGAGAGAGAGAGAGAGAGAGAGAGAGAGAGAGAGAGAGAGAGAGAGGAGAGAGAGAGAAAGATCGCATACCTATCAGGTCTTCTCGAGAAAAAAAGTTGCAGTAAACATGGTTCAAAGAGAACCATATGGGCGCATCTGATTAATTAAAATAATTAATCTGAAATTTGACTGCATTTTGAACGTTACCTATCCGTTTATCGCGACGCAAACGTGTCCCAGGAGCCATGTTTGCGGGAAGTGTCTTCACGCCCCTAACTCTCGCCTCAATGAACAACGATCGGATCCGACATCGTCGCCGCATTGTGGTCCAGGCATCATTTACTCATCCAGACACACCATTGATAAAAAGTTGGTCATTGCTGTTCTCTACTAGCCTCGTTACATAGTTAGACGGGGTCAAGTATACAACTGCCGACTTTACCCACACAGTTCAAACAGGGCATGCTGAGAGGCTATGCCCGGCTGCATCCGCCCCTGGCTGAGTTTACCCTTGTTCATCACATGGCGATTTGTTATCAGTCGTTCCGTCAAGGCCACGACAATTCCAAGGCGCCCATGGTAACGGTGACTGGTCGAATTCGTTCCTCCCCGCCCACCGACGTGCTCCATTGGAGGGATTAGTGATGTCAATTACAGAAAATCAGAATACCGATACCTAACCAAATACCAACGAAAATCCCGGGAAAATACCGAAACCAAACCAACTTGGGAAAATGAGGGAAATACCAACTTTTTACCGATTTATTAGCCTCTTATACATTAGTGAGGGTTTATGATACCAACAAAATACCAAACACATTACGATTGAAATACCAAGTACCAAGTTGGTATCGGTTTGGTATCGGTATACCAAAACGTTGGTATCCAATTGACATCTCTAGGAGAGATCATGGTACAAACTGGTCGGACGGGGCCGTACACCAGTCGTAACTCCGAGGTCAGCGGGGACGGAGCCGCGGCCGACGACCGAGAACAGACAACAGACCACGTGCACTGGGCTACAGACAATCGGCAGTCGGCCACCGACAGCAGAGGTGAGTAGCCGTCTTATTGAACGGACTGGCAGGAGATGTTCGCTATTTAGGCATATCAGGCGGAACGGGGAGGGCACCGGGGCACCGTGCCCCCCTTTGATTTTAGCATTTTAACATTAGCCCTATGGGCGTTGCATGGAAAGAATGGGACCAAAAGTCGGCAGTGCCCCCCTTCCCGCGCCCCGTAGGGGGGCGAAACGGCCCCCCTGTCTTTTTCCGTCGATATCTCCTGAATGGCTAGAGATATCGCCACCAAACTTTCAGGACCCCTCCGGGCATCAATTTTACACATTGTCACCAAACATTTTTCCAGAGGCTGTGATAGGTTGGCCACAAATGACGTCAGAATGACGTCATGTTCTGTCACTTTCGACCGAAAAAAGACCCTCGCAAGAAGATCTGTCAAGCCTACAGCTTTGAAGATGCAAAAAAAATGATCAGGACATAGAAGATGTAGAATTGACAGGGCTACAAAACTGCTATCTCGGATTTTTGAAATTTTGGAGTTTCGACCCCCAAAATTCAAAAAAGCACTTTTTTATATATTAGCCAAAAAAATAAAAAAAAAAAATGAATTTCGAAAAAAAACGGAATATATGTGATAGTACCTACCGTCTTCTATCTACATATCAAATTTCAGATCGATACCTCGTTTTTTGGCCAAGTTATAGCCAAAAAACTGCTCAAAAATGATGACGCCAAATTTTCAAACAATTTTTGGCAATTCTAGACCTCGTAGAGCAAAACAAAGACCACCATTAGACTCCCCGTGACGAGCTGCATTGCATCGATATCCATTTTATGCAAAAATATCAACTTTGAGATTTGACCTAATTTGACCTGACCTTGACCTGACCTTCACCAAAACCTGACCTAGGCTGGTTCCAAAGGCTGCCTAACCCACATAATCGCATTTGTCATGTAAAATGGACCATAAAACATGTATCACACGACACTTTCATATTGTGACCCCCGGTGACCTGACCTTGCTGTGACCTGACCTGGTATCAGTGACCTCAGATAGCAGAGTATGTGTTTGACGAACAATGCACCATCGATGTTTTTCAATAAATTACCAATTTACTCGATTTCACAACACATTTCTTGAAATGCCTGTGAACGGTGAAAATCCGACATTTGACCTGACCTGTGACGTCATCGGTTTGACCTAGGTCAATGAAATTTGGTACCAAGGTAGTTCCCGGATGGGGCTATCGAACGCTGTTTGAATTTGGAAAATTGGCCGGTAAATTTCCGAGATCTTAGGGGGGGGGGCGAAACGCCCCCCCCCCCCTACGGGTGGTAGGGTCCGCCGGTAGCCCTACGGGGCGCGGGTTAATTGAAGGTGTTCCGCCGCTACTGAGGCATACATATGATTGCTGACAGCAAGTTGGGCTTTCAGTTAAAGTTAAAGACAATAATTATATGCACTTTCTGTGGGTCCGGGAATCGGGTGACGGGTATACAATTTAGTTGCTGATGGAATAAGTGTTCATGATTCTGACGAGCTAATGAATACATCTTTGTCAAAACATAGGCTATACAAAATAACTAAGTAAAAACCAGCTCATGCATCATCCACTGATGATTTTCTCATGACTAAAGAGGGTGACAGTGAGAGAGAAGAGAGAGAGAGAGAGAGAGAGAGAGAGAGAGAGAGAGAGAGAGAGAGAGAGAGAGAGAGAGAGAGAGAGAGAGAGAGAGAGAGAGAGAGAGAGAGAGAGAAGAGA